TTACACATACTTCATACACATTCTATACTTAACTAATTTCATCTACGTTGTTCACTTCCCTCACCCAGTGAAATGATAACTCTGTGGGCAGAAACTTTTTTGTGGGGGTATATAGATACATATACAATGACTGGCACACAGTAGGCATATATTAAATGTGTTCTGCGTTGAACACAAATACCTATTTTAATGTGTCACAAATACAATCAAATGGCTTCCCCACAAACAAATTCCCATGAAAAAGGAGGGCTGAATGTGGTGTTAGAGCTTCAAATCACAGCTCTGTCACACACTATCTGTGTCACTTGAGGTAAGTCACTTCACTTCCCTAGCCCTTGGCTTCTCATTTCCACAGCACGCTGTCTAGTCTCCATCCTCTATCTGAGCTCAGAACCAAGGCTGCCTGACCTGTGGCCCCTGGCTCCACCTGATAAGCATTCGCCTTACTTCCTGAGCCCACCAACCACACTGCTCCATCTCTGTGCCAAATCACATTGCATTACCTTCTCTCACTCCTTTTCCAACCTTACCTCCCACCCCACTTCTAGTTCCAAGAAGAGCAATCAAAGACACATACTATTTCTGGAAAGGGCATGCCGATCATAATCTTACAACTTCAACCATCATTCCCTCTGACCTCCTTGTCCAAAATCATACAATTTAAAGTAGTAGGATTATTTATTTATTTGTTTGTTTGTTTGTTTATAGGCAATTGAGGTTAAGTGACTTGCCCAGGGTCACATAGCTACTAAGTGTCAAGTGTTTGGTCTGAGGCTGCATTTGAACTCAGGTCCTCCTGACTTCAGGGCCGGTGCTCTATCCACTGCACCACCTAGCTGTCCCCCTAAAGTAGTAAGAACATTCTGTCTTAATATGTCTAAGGTGGTAATATACTATGTGGCTAGAGCTTCTCCCCCAGACATGACTACATATTTGGCTCAGGAAGAGAATTTTGGATGGAATAAAAGAAGAGGCTCTTTCTTCTCCCAAGATCAGGTAAATCAGAGAAAAGCATGTTCCCTGTCACTCAGATGACAATCAAGTTCATTATCATTAGTTAATGAATTCCCCATGATCACTCTTCTCTGGCTAGTACTCTCCTATATGGGTTGTTTTCTCTATCAGAATATAAGTTTCTTGAAAATGCTTGCATTTATATCCGAGTACTTAACACATCTCTTGGCACATAGCAAGCACTTAATAAATGCTTTTGCAGTCTGCTGTTCAGTCTTTTTTTCTTTTCAGTTGTGTCTGATTCTTTGGGGCCCCATTTGCGGCATTTGCCCATTTTTGTGGCAAAGGTACTGGAGTGGTTTGCCATTTCCTTCTCCAGAACATTTTATGGATGAGGAAACTTGCGTCAACAAGCAGGGTTAAGTGACTTGCTAAGGGTCACAATCGAGTAAGTGTCCGAGGCCAGATTTGAACTCAGTAGGAGCCTTCTTGACTCTAGATCTGGCACTCGATCCACTGTGACCACCTAGCTGCCCCTGCTTTTGCATTCATCTATAAAAGTAGACTTGGATTGGTTACTTTCAGGTTACTTCCAGACCTAAAATCAAGATCCTATGACTCACATTCTAAGTATGATTAATCAAAAAGTAGAAGAACAAAAATCAGAGTTTTTTTTCCTGGCACACCATGGGATTTTTTAGGTGCCAGGAATATGAGAACCTGCTAAAGTGTATTATCATTCTACTGTGTTCATAAGAAATTAGCTACCTTAAAGAAAATGCAAATGATTTTACATTACAATCTTATCTGGAGGTTTCTGATTTCAAATTAGTAAAATAAGCAAAGCAATTTTATATATCCATGAAGCAAAGCATATATTTAGAGTTGGAGGGGAAGTCCAACCTACTATCCAATTTGCTCCAGAACAAATCAGTTTTTAAGTGATCTTTGAAATAACAATAATAGCTAGCATTTATAAAGCATTTTAAATATGTTTTCTCATTGGATCCTTACACAACCCTAATTCTAAGGTAGGTGCTATTATCATTCCCATTTTTCAGATAATGAAATTGAGGCTGAGAGAATTTAAGTGACTTGCCCAATATCTATATCATGGCTATTAAGTATGTGAGGCACTTGAACTTGGTCTTCCTGATTCTAAGCCCAGTACTCCATCTACACTATGACACCTTGGGCATATTATGATACAATGTTCTTCAAAAATCTACTACTTCAAGGGTGGCCCAGTGGATAGAGCACCAGCCCTGGAGTCAGGAGGATTGGAGCTCAAATCCCGCCTCAGACACCTAACACTTACTAGGTGTGTGATCCTGGGCAAGTCATTTAACCCCATTGCCTAACCCCCTCCAAAAAAATCTACCACTTTAAATTAGATAATACTGTAGATTTTTCAAAGAGCTTCTGAAATACATTATCTTATTTAATCCTCAATACCCTGACAAGCAAAGTTGGGAAAACATTACTGCTATTATTCAAATAAGAAAGAAATATGCTTTTAGAAAATTAACACCAGATGCAAAAGCATAGCTGTGTTGCTGATTGACTAATTAATTCTAACTTTTTATTCTTTAAAATTTGGATTCGGTCAAAAGGCCAGACTCAAGGACCTAGCAGGCCACATGTGGCCTTAAAACAGCAAATTCCCCATCCCTGGAAGAGACCCACCAACTCAATTCTATCTAACTTCTACTAGGTCCTCTTCCAAACCTTCTGTTCAGGAGTTCTTGACCTTTGTTGTTGTTGTTGTTGTAGACCCTTATCGAAGGCTGGTAAGCTTATGGACTTATTCCTAAGAATAGTATTTTAAATGCATAATGTAAATACATAGGATTATGAAGGAAACCAATTATATTTTTAAAAATATTAAAATATTTTTTAAAAGTTCACATACACTAGATTAAGATTTCCAGCTTTAATTTTTTTTTACAGATATCCTAAACTTTATTCCCTAGGGGCTATTCCTCCCAGTTGCCAAATCTGTTTTTGCCAAGTCTTTTTAGCTTCTCTTAAGTTCCCTGTAGCATTCAACACCCTTCTTAAAAATTTCCCAATCTAAAACAAATAAATGAGTGAATAAATAAATAATAAAAATTTCCCAATCCTTATCTTTTTCACTCCCCACTACAAAAATTCTCTTCCTACCTCTTCAGTTTCTCATTGACTTAACTTATTTAATCTACTTCCTCCTCACACGCCAATGGGCATGGCTCAGAGTATATCCTACCCCATCCCTCATATATCCCTGGAATTCTGCTTGCCCATTATAAAATTACTTATTAAGTCACTATATCAAATGATTCTTTTTTTTCATCAGGCAGTAGGGTTTAAGTGATTGCCCTGGGTCACACAGCTCGGATGTGTCAAGTATCTGAGGCCGGATTTGAATTCAGGTCCTCCATGACGCCAGGGCCGGAGCTTTATACACTGCACCACCTAGCTGCCCCTACATCAAATGATTCTTAAATATGCTCCATTCCTGATCTCACTTCCCTTTGGCTAGATGCTGCTTTGGTAAATGTCTAAATATCTTGCTTTTACCTTAAAGTCAAAGTTATCTAAAAATCCAAATCTTCACTTTCTCTCCAAAAGCATTTTAATCTGATTCTTTTCTTTCTTCAGTTCTTTCTCCTCACTCAACTCTTATGTCTGATTTTTTCCATCCTGATTAGTTATCCCATATTTATTCAGTTTTTTGCTTCTCTATAACATAGTCTTTCCTTCTCTACTAATAATAGCTATTTACGGGGGCAACTAGGTGGCATGGTGGATAGAGCACCAGCCCTGATGTCAGGAGGACCTGAGTTCAAATCTGGCCTCAGACAAACACTTGACACTTACTCACTGTGTGACCCTGGGCAAGTCGCTTACCCCAATTGCCTAAAAATAAAATAAATTTTTTTTAAATGCCATACTTATAAAATCCATTAAAGTGTTACCCTTCAGAGCTATTCACATTTAAATAGTCCTTAAGAAAGGTACAAAAACCTTCAAGACCCAATAATAGCCACTTGGGTTGAGACAAAGGAAATTATTTATACAGCCCTCAAAACATACCTGAGAGATTTGCAAGGGACTCCAAGGCACAGAGCACAAAGCAGAAGTTCCATAAATGTGCGCTGACCTTTTTCGTGTCAGCAAAAACAAAACCAAAAAATGCAAGACTGAGGAACAGCTGAACAAACAGATCACATGTGTTATGAATTTTAATAGAGTACGGTTACTATTGGGTCATACAAAAGAACAAACAAAAGTATGTCAGAGAAACACAGGGAGACAGACACAACTGAAGAGATTTAACTGAAGAGGGCAGAACCAGGAGAACAACATACACAAGGACTACAATATGACCCAAAGGAAAAAGCACCTTAAAAAGCAGCCAAACCCAAATTAATTGCAATGACCTATCTTCCACCCAGGGAGCACATGAAGGCTCACCTCTTGGCCACTAGGTGGTGCAGTGGATAGAGGAGTCAAGAAGATCAAATTTATTAGCAGTGCGCTGCAGGCAAGTCACTTAACCTCAGCCTCAGTGTCCTCATCTGCAAAATAGGGTTAATAACAACACCTACCTCGTAGAGTTGCCTTAAAGATCAAATGACAGCACATATGTGAAGCACTCTGCAAACCTTAAAGTGGTATATAAATGGTAGCTATTTTATTATTCTAGAAAGGCTGGAGATAAAGGGAAGAGAGGACCTCCAAGGTCCCTTCTGGTTCTCAATCTACAGATCCCATGCTCAGTGTTCCCAGGAAAACCTCTAAGACTCAAAACTGCAGATGTGATTTGGTAGAGGAAATTTCCCTTCTTACACTAAAGAAATCATATCCAAAGAAAATTAAAATCAAACACAAAATACTTACTCAGAGGGGCAGCTAGGTGGTGCAGTGGATAGAGCTCCAGCCTTGGAATCAGGAGGAATCAAATATGACCTCAGACACTTGACCCTGGGCAAGTCACTCAACCCCAACTGCCTCACCAAAAAGCAAAAAAAAAAAAACCAATAACAACAACAAAAAATACTTACTCAGGTATGGAGACAAAAGAGGACATTTTTTCAATTTAGATTGTGTCTTGGAAGCCTTATTGGATGAAGTTAACTCATTTCTCCAAATTATAGTCCTGTTGAAAATCTTTGCTTTAGGAATCTCTTGGATGGCAGCAATCAGGTAGCTTGAGGTGGCCCATCCAATCACCACTATGCATAATGCAAAGAGCAGCAACAGTCTGAATTTATAGGAAATCTGAAGAGTCAAGTGTATACTCATGTCTTATTATTAGATTGATAAGATGTCTCTCACTACCTCTCATGAGGCAGGGGGGAGGAAACAGTTAACCTAGAAGAACCTTCACAATCCAATCACAAGTTGTACGTCAACAGGTACAGCAACAATTCTTTTCCCATGGTTCTGTTCCAATAATTTCTGGAAAACAATCACAAAAGATGTTCTATTTCAAACAGGCATCCCAAACTGAAATATAAGGATACGTGAAATAGGCGTATATGTGCTAGGTGGTATAGTTCTGGACTGGGAGTAAGGAAGATAAGACTTCAAATCCTGCCTCACACATTAGCTATGTGACCTCAAACAACCCTTGCTCTCTGAGCCTCCATTTCTCCAACTGCAAAATGAGTAACAGTACCGGGGGGTGGAGAGAATCAAATAAAATAATCTTGAAAACCTTAAAGTATTGTATGATGTTAACTATTATTATTTCCAATTTAAAATTATTCCCTTATCTATAACCTTTAAAAAAAAAAAAGAAAGAAACTCTAACACACAGCAGATCTGGTTGAATGAATAAGGTCAATTCACCAACCACTAGTTTTAGACACCAAGCTGATCTTGACCCATGGAGAGAATTTTTTTTTTTTGCAGAAATATGTGAATAGTTAGGGGATGGCATAAATAAATAGGAGTGAGAAAGTAAAGAGGGGAGAGATTCTGAAAGGCTCAGTTGAGTTGTTTCAGTCATGTCTGACTCTTTGTGACCTTATTTGGGGTTTTCTTGGCAAAGATAATGGAGTAGTTTGCCATTTCCTTCTCTAACTCATTTTACAGATGAGGAACTGAGGCAAATAGGGTTAAGTGACTTGCCCAGGGTCACACAGCTAGTAAGTGTCTGAGGCCAGATTTGAACTCAAGAAGATGAGTCTTCCTGACTCCAGACTTGGCACTCCATCTACTGTGCCACCTAGATGTCTCAAGGTTTTTTATGTGATCTACAGGGGCTATGCTCATCCTCCATAGAATCATCTCTTTTAGTGGAACAATAGTCCCTAACAACTTCTTTGATATGATTAAAGGTAAGGAGAATAAAATACGGTCACTGTGTAGGCAGCCAACTTGTGAGTCTATGATTTTCCCCAGACATGACTACATATTTGGCTCAGGAAGAGAATCTGGGATGGAATAAAGAAGAAGCTCTTCTCCTAAGCCCAAGTAAATCATAGAAAAGCATGTTCCCTGTCACTCAGAGGACAATCAAGTTCATTATCATTAGTTAATGAATTCTCCATTACCATCAGTTATTGTCCCATGTGGCATTTACACATCACACATCCCAAAGCATACAGAATAAGCAGCAAGAGGCAGAAACTGCAAAGATGTAAATTTATGTTCAATATCAAGAAAAATTTCTTTCACAAAGAACGGTGTAAAAAAGTGAGTGATCACTAGGGATCTTCATTGTCCCTTCAGGCAAAGGGACAAGGACCATTTATTGGGTTATCTTGTAGTGAGGATTCTTTTTTGGGTATGGGTTGTACAAAGATTTTGGTCACTGAGGTCCCTGACTACTCTGAAATTCTGTGATTTTATGCACAGGAAAGTTTCCCCCCGTGGAAAATTTCAACATATCAGAAAGGTCAAAATCCAGAGAACGAATACAAAAAATAAACTATGTGGAGTTTTTCCAGTGGCAAAATAAAGGACTGCATGGGTGCTACAAAACTGATGTCAGTGAAAGAACTACAGCCTCGCTGTATGGAGGAATGTATGGAGGAAAAAGATAAATATGAGAAAATAGGGTTTTTTGCTTTTTTTTGTAATGAAGACAAGAAAGTCAAGAAATTCTGGTTCTGCCACTTATTATTTGTATGACACTGGGCAGGTTACTCACTCTCTCTGGGCCTCAGTTTCCTCATCCATAAATGAGGGGGTTAGACTAGATGACCTCTAAGGTCTCCTATCTTCTGGTCAAGAGACTTGCCGCAGGGAAACCAATCAGAAGGCTATTGCAATAGTTTGAATCAGAGCTGAAGATGCCAAAAGTTGATGTGTTGTTTGGAACCCTGCAGAACTTTCACATCAAAACAATGTCGCTACAAAATGGTAGTTACATACAAAGACCAACCCACAAATGTAATAAAACTCAGAAACTGGTCAAACTATTATACCAATAGTACTAAGCTCGCATTTTGGGTCCTGGAAGTAGAGGGCTGTACAATGCCAGAAATATCATAGTATTATAATTTAGAGCTGAAAGGGTCCTTCTGGCCCACTGAGTCAAACCCCTGAATTTTACCAATGAGGAAACTGAGGCTCAGAGAAATTTTTTCTTGCCTATCACACAGATTTTAAGGGTCATCAGGTAACTCTCAAATTTCCATTAGCAGTTCTGCTAAGTTTGGACCCCAAGGAACACTATGCCCCACCCAGGATGGGCTGATCACCTGAAATCTCGTCCTCATCATCAGGCAGTGGCTCAGCTTTTTTACACAAAATACCTCATCAGCTTCTTAGTGGTCTCTCCCCTCTGACTGAGGGCTAGGAGGTGAAGCCCTAAGCTCCTCCCTATATGTGTGTGTGTGTGTGTGTGTGTGTATGTATGTATTATATGTATACATATACATAGGTATAATATGCAGTTATTGACCCTCTTAGCCCAGTGGAAGAGAAGAGGGGGAAGGAGAGGAGGAACTCAAAGACATCAATTACAGCTGTGTCCATCACTTCAAAGAAGAAATCATTTAAAATGACACCCAGTTTACTCTTAAAGTTCACTAAAAAAAAATTCACTAAAGACATGCCCTTTTCTCTATAACCTCTCTTCTCCCTTCCGTATAACCTAATAAAAAACCTTGTATTTAGTACATGCAGAATAAACCTTTGAGCAATAAAAGAATAAAAGAGAAATTGAAAATGAAATTCTGGCTGTCTACATGAGGATGTTACGTGGAAACTGACAAATCAGCAGCTGAAACTAGTGAACCACCCCTGAACCACCCCTAGTCAGATCTGAAACATAGGGCAGTGAAAGTGGGGACTACTTATAAGGACCAGGAAGGCAAGAGTAGCCCCAAGTTCCACCAGACTAGATCACAGCTGTCCGGAGTCTGCCTCAAGGCTATCACTGACCTGTGGAAATGACTAAGGACCTGCGGGCCTGCATACCGTTCAATAATTTAACCACCATTTACCAAGTCTCTGTTATGTGCAAAATACTGCAGGGTGTTCAGGAAGATAACAGGATAATTCAGAGTTCTCCAACGTGACTAGTAGGTCTAGAAACAAGAAATGTAAATATTGGGCAGAATATCCGGTAACACACACTGCACATTGTAACGCTGGTCTACCTTTCCAACTTCACCTCGTAGTAAATCCACATAGTCTCCAACTACTACGTCCCTTCTCCCAAAAGTCTCTGCTTTCTCAAATCCTAGCCTATGTGCCTCTGCACACACACTCTAAGCTGTGAATGCACAGCTCATAATTCCATCGGTGGAAATTCTACGATCTTTCAAATTCAACTCAAAAGATAGACTCTTTAGACTGGGAAACCTTGAATCAAACCCTTTTTTTTTTTGGGGGGGTGAAGGGGAGGTTGGTCTTTTAAATGACAACGGGAAAAACTAAAAAGAACACCTAAATCCCGGCCTTCTTCAAACTTTGAAGAGGACCAGCCCATAGCTGCAGGGGTAGCTTCAATTCATTCCTCCCGGAGCAGTGCACAAGCAGATTACAAAGCTTCTTAGAGGCCCAGGGCTAACCTCGGAAATCGGAGAGGGCTTTAGACTAGTTACCCTCCATCCCACCTTATCTGCTGGCTTCCCCTCTGGCAGCGCAGAAACAAAAAACAAACAAACAAAAAAAAACTCAGCGGCGAGGGGGGGGGTCTGTAATGGAGCCCCAGGCATGTCCATCAAAAAACCCGGCACCACCCCTCGGTTGTAGCTTTCTGCGCTCTCTCCCTGCCTCCGCTCTCCCCCTCCTCCCCCAAGCACCAAAGGGCTCCAAACTCTGCCTCTATCCGTGGCCCCGCCCGCCAGCAGCTGATCGGTCCCGAGGCCTCCAGCTTGCCTCCGGGTACCTGGGTTTAGAACCAGCTGCAGCATCCCCCTTTCCCAGCCCACCCTCGGGGCGTTAACCCAACGCGCGCCGCCGTCTTCCCGAGCTCTCTTGGGCATCTGCATCCTCCCCCGCCCCTTCTTCCCAGGCCAGACCCCATCGCCCGCGTCCGACGCCTCTAGCCCCGGAAGGCAATACCCGAGCGCCGGCCTGGAGAGCCAGAGCTCAGACTCACCAGGAAAAGGCTGCTACGACTCCCTTCGTTGTTGCCAGGGCCCGGGAAGGGAAGTCTGGAGGCTGAGAGGAGGGGGCAGCTCTGTCTGGGACCACGCCTCCAAGTCCCGCCAGATATCCCCTTTCTGCTCCTCCTGCTGCTGCTGCTGCTACTGCTGCTGCTACTGCTGCTGCTGCTGCTGCTCCTCCTCCTCTCCTCCTCCTTAGAGTCAGTCAGTGTGAGGCGGGGCCATCTCCAGCCTCTCTTACTTTTCCTCGCTCCCTACCTTTGCAGTCCCAACCTGAGTGGCAGGGGCAGCGCCTTCCTTAGGCAAATACCTGTGCACCTGCAAGATCAGTCCGTCAGACGGTCAATAAGCATTTAGCAGACGGTCGTTCAACATTTATTAAGTGCTTACTATTCGCCAGGCACTGTGCTAAGGACTACTGATACAAAGAAAGGGTCAACACAGTCCTTGTCCTCAGCAACATTTCATTGTAATGAAAGAAACAGATACTTACAAGATACAAAACACAACAGTAACGGCTCATGTTTATATAGCGCTTTCAGGTTTGCAAAGCACTTTACACAGGTTATGTCACTAAATTCTCGAAACCTTGTAAGGTAGGTGCTATTATCACCATTTTACTGCTTAAAAACAAAACAAAACAATCCCAAGCTGAAGCTGGGATAAGTGACTTGTGTGATTATACGTGTAAGAGGTTGGGACAGGATTTGAACTCAAGTTTTCTTGATTCCAAGTTATATAGAAGAAAGTAGTCTGAAAGAGGAAGGTATTAGCAGCTGAAGGAAGCAGGAAAGCCCTCCTGCAGAAGGGTGGTTGCTATGAAGTTGGAATACAGATCAAAGAACACTGGTTTTACTTTTTTTTTATTTTTCATGGTTTTCCCCTTTTGTTCTGTTTCTTCTTTCACAACATGACTAATGTGGAAATATGTTTAACATGATTGCACATGTATGACCTATATTAGATTGCTTGCCATCTTAGGGAGGGCAAAGGGGAGAGGGTGGGAGAAATTTTTGGAATTCAAAATCTTATTAAAAATGAATGATGAAAACTATCTTTACATGTAGTTGGAAAAAATGAAATAGAAGAAGAATTACTCAGCAGTCTGGAAGTGTTGGATCTGCTTAATTCCACTGAAGCTGTAGCAATAACACTTAGGAAAGAAAAGTCCTTGATAAAAGTTGTGGTTTTTTTTTTCTTTTTGGTGAGGCAATCGAGGTTAAGTGACTTGCCCAGCATCACACAGCTAGTGTCAAGTGTCTGCAGCCAAATTTCAACTCAGGTCTTCCTGACTCCAAGGCCAGAGCTCTATCCACTGCACCACCTAGCTGCCTCACAAAAGTTATTTTACAGAAATGATTCAAAACTGGTAAATGTTTAACAGGGGCTCTCTGAAAAAAAAATGTTCATGGGATACACATTCAAATTTAGTTTGCATTATTAACATCTTCTCCATCACTTTCTTAAGTCAGGACAATTAACAATGCCATAACTAATTCCAGATTTGTGTGGATTGCCAATTTCTGGGGTGTAAATGCTCACAATGAAAATTTAACAAGCCTGTTTGAGCTATCGTCAGTACACTCCCAGTCACTCCTGGTTAGAAGAAACCTTAAGAAGTGTACTTCTCAAAGGAAGAAATCCAAGCTACCAACAGACATATAAAAAAATGATCCAAATCATGAATAATTAAATAAAAACAAATTTAAACAACCCCAGTGTTTCACCTCACATCTATCAGATTGGCAAAGATGACAAAAAAAAAGGGAAAATGACAGTTGTTTGAGGAGCTGTGGGAAAACAGGCACATGAATACACTGTTCCTTTACCAGTGAATTGGTCCAGCCACTTTGGAGAGAAATAGAAGCTGTGACCTTAAAAGACACTAAATTGTGCATAACCATTGACATGTAGCAATGGCGTTACTAGGTCTATATGCAAAATCAATGAAAGAAAGAACCCATATATACTAAAAAAACAAAAAAAATGTGTTTAGCAGTCTTTTTGTTGTAGCAAAGAACTTGAAACTATGGGACGCTTATAAATTGGATAATGGGTAAACTAATTATGTTTGAGTCTGGGTAGGTATATGCATGTAATAGAGTATTACCACAAAATATAAATGGTGAAAGGAACAGTTTCTGAGAACCTGGGAAGATTTTAGGAATTGATGCAGACTGAAGTAAACAGAACCAAAAGAATAACTTGTGTAATAACAACAACACCATAAAGATAAACAACTTTGAAAGACTTAAGAACTCTGATCAGTGCAATAACTAACGATTCCAGAAAACTTGGTGAGAAAGTATGCTACCTAGCTAATAACTTGAGGTGGGAAAGGATACATACTTTTTTTGGGACTTGGCCAATATGTGAATTTGTTTTCTTTGGCTATGTTTATTTGTTATAAGGATTGTGCTTTTCATTTTTTTTTAATAGGAAAGGAGGTTGAGGAGGAAGAATGGAGTTAGCAATAGTATTGTCAGAAAAAGAAAAAGAGGGATACCAAAGGATTTTTCTAAATGCACAGAAGAGAATAGAAGGAAGTTCAGCAGGAAAACATAGCCAAGTAGGACAGAATTTATTTGTAAGGGCAGAATAGATTGAGTTAATCAATTACTTACCTAAAGTAAGTAATTAAATGTCATGCCCTGATACCTCACTTAACCTGATGAAGAAGCTTTTGTATTTCATCAAATCAGTCAAAAGCAATCCAACTAAATATGAAAAGGCCTTAAACAGTGTAGATGTCCCTGATGAACCAATGGATGAAATAGACTGACATGGCACAGAAAGAATATTGGAATTGTCTGAGGAACCTTGGTTCCACAGGGATCATCTATAAAATAGAAAACAAGTTCCAAATCAGTTACCCAGGTAGAACATTTGACTTACTTTAGAAGGGATGTGGAGGGGAGTGGAATGATTTGAGAGATTTGCTCATTCAATCCCATCCTTACATATTATATACTTTTTAAAAAGCAAGTTTTGAACAGAGATTCAAGATTTCACATAAAATCCTTTTTTCTGTTCTACCTTGCACATGGTAATGTTCTCTTTTTTAATGCTCCATTAAATTCAGAATGTTTTTTTTAAAAAGAAGTCACAAATGTATCCCTTATACATAGATCTGAAAGGTAATTTCTTCCTTGTTCCATTATTTTGTTTGTGATATAACCTTTTATATCTAGGCCACTTCTGCCTTTGATACTTTTCTTGGCACATGGTATGAATTACTGGTCTGAACCTAATTTCTGTCATTGTGTTATCCAATTTTAGCAGCAGATTTGGTTTTTTGTTTTTTAAATCACATAGTGATTCCTTATGCCAGTAGCTGGGGACTTTGGGTTTATCAAACACTAGCTTACTAGGTTTGTTTGCTTCCATATATTATGTACCTAATCTGTTCTACTGATCAACCAGTACCCATTTTTCTTTTGGGAATCACTGCTTTGCAGCTATTTTTGTGGTGGCAAAGAACTGGAAATTGAGGAGATGCCCATCAATTGGGGAACAGCCGAACAAGTTGTGTTATGTGAGTGTAATGGAATACTATTGTTTCATAAGAAATGATGAGCAGGTTGATTTCAGAAAAGCCTGGAAATACTTGTATGAACTGATGCTGAGTGAAGCGGGCGTGAACTAATGTGGAGTGAAGTAGGCAGAACCAGAAGAACATTGGACATAGTAAAAGCAGCAGAGTTAGATGACCAACTTCATTAGACTTAGCTCCTCTAAGCAATGCAATTATCTAAGACAATTCCAAAGGACTCATGATGGAAAATGCTATCCACATCCAGAGAAAGAATTAAGGAGTCTGAATGCAGATCAAAGCACACTATTTTCTCTCTCTTTTTTTTCTATCTCGTGGTTTTTCCCTTTTGCTCTGATGCTTCTTTCACAACAGGACTAACGTGGAAATGTGTTTAGTATGATCGTACCTGTATAGCCTATATAAGATTATATGCTGAATTGGGGAGGGGGAGGGAGGAATCTAGAACTTAAAATCTTATAAAAGTGAATGTTGAAAACTAAAATTAATTATTAAAAAAAAGAAAAATATTGCTTTGTAGTATAGTTTGATATCTGGTATAGCCAGGTCTCTTTCCTTACCATTTTTTTTATTATTTTCCTTGGGATTCTTGACCTTTTCAGCCTTAAGTTAAATTTTGTTATTATTTTTTCTAGTTCTATAATGTGATCCTTTGGTAGTTTAATGTGTATGGCACTGAATAAGTAATTAATTTAGGTAGTTATTGTCATTATATTGGCTCAGCCTATTCATTGGGAATTAATACTTCTTCAATTATTTAAGTCTATATGCCCATTATTATGTGCAATTTTTATTACATAAAATTAAAAAGCTTTCCCATAGAAATCCAATATAGCTAAGATTAGAAAGGTAACAATTACTAGAAAAAAAATATTTGCAGCAAATTTCTCTCATTTCCAAGATACAAAAAGAATTAATTTAAAAATTTTTTTTTAATTTTAAGAATAAGAACTATCTTCCAAATGTTCTAAAGATATGAATAGGAAGCTCTCAAGGAAAGAAATTCAAGGTATGTACAGATACATAATAGCATCCTGATTTCTTTCTCTACAGTCTCTTCTTCTACAATCAATGCTTCATCCATCTGACAAAATAATTTTCAATAAGACACAGGTATGTCACTCCCATGCTCAAAACCTTCAGTGGGCTCTTATCACCTCTGGGATAAAACACTTACAAATTCCTTGGTTTGGCATTTAAGACCCCATCTCATTTCTAATTACTCCTTGAAGGCAGGGAATATACCAGTTTTCACTGCACACAGGGTAAATACTTCACAAAATATCTGAATTGAATTTTTCTCATTTTTCTAGTGTGGCCTAATTTCTTTTTGTTCTATCTTTATAAAAGGTACTGGCCTTGAGGGTAGGTAGAATAGGTAACTGCTTCCCTGGTGGGATTTCAGGAGTGCTCTGCCCGCTCCCACTCAGTCTCACTGATTGATGAAATTTCCAATAAGCAATAATTTATTCACCTTGAAGCATCTGATCAGATGAAAGGCAACAGGAAAATATTCTCAATCTTTCATACTTTAGTACAAATGAGTTTCAAAGTCTTTCTTGAAATCACAGTGGATACAAGAGTAGAGA